CGGCTCCTATGCAAACTCCCACAAGTTCGTTTTATTTCATGTGCGTGTAAGACCTCACTGGTGCACACAGGGCTGAGGACCTTTGAGCTAAGGCTGAGTATGAGGCTCTGCAGAGCTGTGGTACTAATTATCAGGAGGAAAAAAAAAAAAAAAACAAACCTTGGCAGAACTCATCTGATTTTATTAACTTATTTATTTTTTTCTTGGAGTCAGAGCAGAATACTGCTTGAGTCCCAGTCTGTGAGATGGATCCCACCCTGCAAGCTGTAAAACTGCACCTGATCAAAGAGCTCAGAGCACAAATCCAGGTGCTAAATGAGGCCCTGAGTCAGTAGGGACAAAAGGTTAATTAGGTTGGCCAACCTATTAGACATCTGACAGCCAAGCTGAAGTGGAAAGGTGTAGTATGAGGGAAATGGCACAACAGTGGGCATTGAGATTAACAGTCTCTAGAGTAGATTTCTAAATTTATTTTTAAAGAAGCCTGCAAGATTGCACATTCAAAATACTGAAAACATTTCACGTCTCTGCTTTTTGTTTAACAGCCACTGTCTACTATCCCTTCTGCTTCCTCACTGCCCATCACTATGTGGTCTCTGAATAACAGACTTGCACCTGCAGTCTTACGAAACTAGAGAAAGCTTGGTTCTTCACAGCAACTAAAAAAGGAACCCTAGAGAACAACTTTAAGGTTAATACATAAACCCTTGGGATCTTTGAACTGAGACTAGCAGTGCATCTTCACATATATGCTGCTGCAATGTAACACGAGAGAGGAACCAACTAATTCTATAGCAGGCATCTTTTGAAAGCTATCGCTCATCCAACCTTGATTCAAAAGAAAGTTTGCTGAATCTCAAAATGTAATCTCTGACTTTGTAGTTGTAAATCTGTAGGATTTAAACAGGAAAATAGTAACTTGCTTGGAAATTGATTGTAGCTGTCGCTACACAGCAGGTTGGATTATGAAGTTAAATCTTTCTGTAATAAATGAACGTACTTCAGATGGCAATCATGATTTTTTCCAGTTATCCTTTTTTATAAAGAGGCAAGATTTGCAGGGAGAAATAGTACCCTTCCTTAGGTCAAGAGTTGCTTAAACCAGGTTAGCCTTAGAGTACATAAATTCTCCATCAGCCCATCATAGCACAGAATCCCCACCACTCATTTGCTGCGATCAGTATGCTGAGAAGAAAATTGGCAATGCTGAATTCTTCCCTGGGTTATGATAATTCTAGAAAGCTGTATGTTTTTTTAGTCATTACAACATCGTTTACAACTCACCTTATTCTGTATTCTAGCTTTCTATTTCACTTACTGCTTAATGTGTTCTCTTTCAGCATTTTATTACAAATGCATTGAAAAAGAGGATGCAGTTTTCTGTATCTTACATCTTTTCTGTATCTTATCTGATTAGGGCTACAATACTAAACAGTATGAGATTGAATCCAAATCTGATGTACATCCTTGTCATGCTAACTTTAGTGTATATATAGAGAGATTTGTGTATGTGTGTGTCTGAACCATGTTTTCACATTTCTTACATTTCCCTCAAAATGACAGTAAGGGTAAAATTTTCAGCAGCAGCACACAAGTCACCGGGGTTTGTAAATCCCATTTTTAAGACTATTTTAAGAGCTTTTAAGAATTTCAGAGTGGCTTTATCTTACCGCCACTTAGTGCCTGTCATCTCTGAGAACAGCACTTGGGCTCTCTGAGTACTTTTGAAGTGTTTCCTCTTGTTTCCTAAAAGTAATCTGAGGACGTGTTGATGTGTGATATTAGTTCTTAGGCAGGAAGGACCGAATAAAAGTTATCTCTCAGTTCATCATCTGTATTCCTTTCCTTGCAGCTGTTTGGAACGATAGTCTGGATTTTGGTAGCTTCTACCCGAGTTCCACTGCCGCTGCTGCAAGGATGGGTAATGTTTGTAGCGGTGACTGCATGGTTCCTGTCCATTGTGTTCCTGTGTGTGTTCCTTTTCGGTTATGCAAATAGAATTGCTGTCAACTGGAACCAGACGGTAAGATTTTTTTCTTTATTTAAGGATTCCCTTTGTTTTATAAACTGAAAATCTTTTCATGAGAAGTGCTGATCCTAAGTCTTAATGCTTGGCTTTTTCCATTTTAGCGGAAAGTTTTTCAAAACAGAGGAATGCAAAACTGGAAAAAGAAAGAGTAGGGCTACAAGGATGATGGAGGAAATATAGGACCTTTTTTATGAGGGAGGCTGAAAGAGCCCAGCTTTTGAAACTGTTTGAAGGAGTATACTTGTTCTCTGTGAACACATAAAATGCATGAGCAGCAGGAAGAGGACTAGTTTAGCAAGGCATGACAACAAATTGGTTTAAATGGCCAGGAATAATTGTGGAATGGAAATCAGAAAATACTTTATGACTATTAGAGAAGTGGTAGTAACATCCTATGCATAATGGGGGCTAGAAGGATACATCTAATACTGTAAAGGAAGGGATACATTTGTGAACACATTGTGTAATGTGGTTGTCCGAGGTAGCACTGTCTGGACTAAAGCACCCAGGAAGTTTCCTCCAGTTCCTAAGAAAGTCTTCTGCTGACTTTTGGATCAATTCCTTATGGCTGGGGCAGCATTGGTGAGTGGCTGTTAGGTAGCTGAAGATAGCATAACCTGCAGTATGATATAGCTTAACATCCTTTTAGGAGCCTTAACATTTATCTTTCTTAGAGGAAGCCTGGTGAGATGACAGATATCATTATACTCTGCTCAACTTTTCTTCATTTTGAAGACAAGACTAGATTCTTGCTGTAATGGATTGTTATGGCTTGTGCTGGTAGTTCTCTCAGACTGTACCTTCCTAAGAAAAAAGGGAAGCTGTTGGCTCCAGTTTTTACCAACCATGTGGAATCCTCAGGCTATTGACTGCTAATTTATGTACTCCTTTGTTGTCATTAGCTGCTCTTTACTTTGAGTTTTTTAGCGTTCAAGCAGTTGAGCACAAGATGCTATCACTCTCTCTCATATTACTGGAAGTGAATAATAAGAGGTGGCAAAACTGTGATCAGAATGGGAATTTCCAAAAAATCTTCCAAAAGGACCAGAACTTCTAAAATATTTAAGTATGGCTGTTTGTAACTACTGATCACCTTTACATTCCTCCTGTCCAGCTTAGTTTTCCTATTGCCACTTTTCGTGATCATAGCTGGAATTGTGTGCTTCAGTATCAACATCTGTGGTTATTTATCTGTTCAAGTTATTCACAGACAGTCCCTTAAAACAAAAGGTCTTTAAAGCAAATCATAGAGCTTCATGAGTTTGGGGCTCTGATAAATTCAAAACCCATCAGTGGTAACAGACTGGATTCTATTAAAACAAACTTTAGCACTTTGATAGCGAATACACATACATACAGTGTCAGCTTTGCAGCACAATACAGGCAGTAATTGGGCTAATAATGAGTTACAATTACAGAGACCTTTACAGGGATTTATGCTGCGACATCCTCACAAGTTATGATGCAACAAAGCCCTTGAGCATGTGCATAACTTAAGTAAATTAATAGTGTCCGGGGTTTCATTGAAACTGTTTGCCAGTTTACAATCATGCATGTATTTAAGAGTTGCTGGGTGAGAGCATAGCCTTTTATAGATTGAAAATGCTATACAAATGTTCATCTTATAACGATTGCGTGTGTCTTACACATTGGCGACTTGATGCTGGCAGTGATTTGTCATACTGTTAATTTTGTCCCCTTGTATGTGATAAATTACTGAAAAACCTTCTGTGTCAGCAAATTGCTACATGACTTGTATAAAAGCTGCAATTGTGGGGTTCTTAAATGCAGAGTTAGTCGTTGTATCTCTTAATACAGTAGCTGAAATCCAGCTCCTTCCAGCTGTCAACAAAAATAACACTAGATAGATCATTTGACCACTGTTTTCAAGTACCCAAGTGTTCTGTAACTTGTTGGCACTAAACTCTTTAGCAGCACTTCACAAGGATTTTCTACCTTCTGTTGCAAATAAGTAATTACTGGAAACACCAAAACTTTTTATTACTAGAAAATAAAAAGTTATACCTGTTCATTTTAGGTTGGCATGTATTTAGATAAATACATGGTTTTTGCTATTTCATAAATTAAATTTACAGTAGAACGCAGAAGCTACAGATCATTAGATTAGGTCAAAAATGGGAAGAGTCATGGCTTAGTTACTATAGCTTCATGTAGAGATTCATGAACAAATGTGGTTTAAGACTCCAGGAGTCTAAATCTAAGTTTGAAAAATAGCATGAGATTCTGACAGCCCTGGATTTAGTAATACCTTATGTCATAAGTAGGTCCATAGGTACTAATACAGATACTTAAAAAATAAGATGCTACACAGTGAAAAGATGGGGGAAAATGTGGACCTTATGGAGGTATATTGCTCTGTAGATCACTGTATTAAACCAGATGGTATGACAAATACGGTCCTTTACAGCCTGACTCACAACACTCATTTACAAAATTAGATGTGAACTAACATATCATGCAGATCTGGTAGTGTTTTACATAGACTTTGTATGAGGTGTCAATGATGATAGAACTGTGGAGGCAAGGGAGAGTTGGGCACCATGCTAACAATTACTAAAAAACAAAAAACCTTCCCTCATAAGATCTTGGGGTTTTTGGTCACAGAAACCATAACCATAGAAATGTGAAACCTCACTGATTCTACATAGCGTCACTGTAATTGCTGCCAGGAGAAGGAAATTAGAGGGTTTGGCAGGAGAATGAAGGAAATGAAAGAGTTTGTCTTCTGAAAATCTCTCTCCTGTATGCAGTCAGCACTGTCTTCCTCATGGAGCTAATTGTGCTCCTTCATGAGCAGTGATGCCCAAAGTGGATGGCTGGTAATACTGACATAGTTGCACGCTAGGTATTTAGCAGCCCAAGAATAATGGATGCCTTTGATTACCCATGGGTTTATGCAGACCTTTCAAGTTGCTGGAATCCTGTGCTATGAAGTGGGTATGTCAGGCCAAGATATGGGGTTTAGTATTTGTCGCGCAGTGAACACACACCTGCAGCAGTCTGACATGGTGCCTGTAGGCAGTACCATGAAAGATGTGTGTGTCTGTCTGCCAGCTCAAGTGAGTGGGGCAAGCCACAACAGTAAGTGTCTGGTGGGGAGAAGTGCCTCCCCCAGCTGCAGCAGAGCACTGCAGCTTCCCCGATGCTTCAGCACTCTCATGCTGGAGTAGGTCCCTGCTTTTTTTTCCTGTGAGGTACAGATATTACATCAGAGCTGGAGACTCAGGGAATGTGTCTTATGCCGAAAGCTTGAGATCTGGCAAGCCTAGTATGTAAAGGCTATCCAGCTAGGTCAGGAAGGTACCCTCTACACCCTTATCTTCTCAGTTCTGTTGATGTCAGTGGGGCCTCCTAGTAATACTCCAATAGGAAGTAATTGTTTTTAAGAAATGCGGAGGGGGGACACGACCCAAAACTAACAACCCAGCCAGGATGGAAAAACAGAAGTTGGGAATTACTGCAGCAGTTTTGTGAAAACTTGGATTCCCAGTATTTAGCAGTCATTAAGAAAAGCAGTACACTCTATGACCTAACCTCAAATGATTCTTAATTAAGAGAAAATTATTTCCTGATGTAAGTGGAATGGGAAACTGTAGTAGCAGCTTATGTCATTCTGGGCCCTTCACTACAAGAAAGACCTTGAGGTGCTGGAGTGAGTCCAGAGAAGGGCAAGGAAGCTGGTGAAGGGTCTTGAGGGTAAGTCTTATGAGGAGCGGCTGAGGGAGCTGGGGTTGTTTAGCCTGGAGAAGGGGAGGCTGAGGGGAGACCTGATCACCCTCTACAACTACCTGAAAGGAGGGTGTAGCGAGGTGGGGGTCGGTCTCTTCTCCCAGGCAACTAGTGATAGGACAAGAGGAAATGACCTCAAGTTGCGCCAGGGAAGGTTTAGATTGGATATTAGGAAGAACTTCTTCACCAAAAGAGTTGTCAGGCACTGGAAGAGGCTACCCAGGGAAGTGATGGAGTCACCATCCCTGGAGGTATTTAAGAAAAGACTGGATGTGGCACTTAGTGCCATTGTCTAGTTGACATGGTGGTGTTAGGGCAAAGGTTGGACTCGATGATCCCAGAGGTCTCTTCCAACCTAATCGATTCTGGGATTCTGTAATCAAATTATTCTCTAAACAGGGAAATGCAGTACATTCTCACTTTGATATCAGACAGTCAGTAGGTAAGGATGTTGCACAGTGATTTCCGGTGCATTTGAATGCTGTCTGCTGTTGTGATGGACGCACATGTGGTGTACCCTGAGTTCTCACTCTTGGCATACTGGTAGTCCATTGCACTCAAGTGAATTAAAAGCGCATAAAGAATTCATTAGTGCTGGAGAAAGACTACATAACATGGATCTCATCAAAAAGCATACGTATACTTGGGTGTAATTGTAAGAATTGTGTCTATGGCTTTTGCAGACCTGCACAGGTGTAGGCACAAAGCATATGTTGTATGGACTCAGGAACCGAGTGCAGTGCAAATGTCAGCTTTGCAGACTCAGCAATAGAAGGAGATGTTGGAAGAATATTTTGGATATTTTAAAACTGTACTGGAACATGCCTTGGACCTTGCTGGGTGGAACACTGGACTCTGTATTTCAAAGAGATTTAGGCACCAGAGCTGCTTTTTCATGTGCTCCAGTAATAGAATCCAGAAATGAGAGGTAGATGTTTAAACCTTGCATTCAGCTAGAATTTACCACAGAGGAGGGAATTGCCTAGAGAAGGCCAGGAGAGAAGCATATTTAAAGTAAATCCTAACTCCTGTCCTCTCAAGTCTCAGGCATATTATTCCACAGTATCATGAAGTAATTCCAAATTACTGTATTTTGGGCAGAGCCAAGTCAGAGAGAGTTGAGGAAATGCCTCAGTTCTTGTATTCTGATTGTATCAGAAATAAACTTCAGCTGTGTCAAGGCTGAGGTGTTTCTAGGCATTTACAGAAGCAAAATGTAAGTGTGGAGGGGGGACTTCTGGAGCCTAGGTTAGAGGTGAGAAGGGATTTGGGGGACTGCAAGCTTGTATTGTACTGCTTAAATTGTGATAAAGTTGGTCTGTATGTCCCTTCTTTCTTATCTGAGCCATATGAAGGGCAAGTTCGGCAAGTTCTAATAGCTCTAAAGTGATCTAAAAGGTCAGCATATGTACATATAGATGAGCATGTGTCTCTTAATTTGAAAGAATATAGGGTTTGGGGAGAGGGAGAGTTACCCTTTATTGCTAATTATGTTAGTGAGTTGCTTATAATTGCAAGCAGCTGTGAAAACATGTCCAGGTTAAGCTCTCAGACAGATTTAACACTGCTTATCTAAAGTTATTGTTATCAGTGCTCGTTTCATGTTTCAGTGTTGAATTTCATTTGTACTGGGACTAGAAGAATTAGGTATTGCAGCCCAGACTGATTTTGTTATTTGCTTTTCAGGATTTTCTTTTCCATGGGGCTACTTTTGTCTTTTATTTTGGAGCTTTTCTATTGCAAGCAGCAACTACATCTCTGCATCACTTTCCCCGCAAATTCAATTCCACCACACAGGAGAAGATTCTAGCTGATCATGAATATAACATAAGCATAGCAGCCTCGGTATGTATTTCATATATTTGTATCTGGGGAACAGAAGTCTGTTGTAAGCCCTTGTAGCCAACCATTCAACTTGGGAACTTAACAGCAAGCTGCAGGAGAAAGAGGAGCTGTGAAAAAAAGGATTGTCTTTGAGAGCAGCAAATAGTGTCTAACAGTGACATGCAAAAAATATTGGAATAAGCTAATGCTAATGTGATAGGTGCTCAGTTGCTACTCTTTGCTATAGTGTTTTAAATATATGATCACTACAGCTTATTATTTTTAGATGAGGTATTTTGTAAAAGCAATGTTGGTTATTAGACTAGAAGAAAAAGATAACAACTGAGCCTTCATCAAAACATCAGTTGTGAATTTCATGCCTGTGCTCAAACTTTCACTTGCTTTTTTTATACCATTTAGATAGTCCTGAACATGCCATGGGGAAAAAACTTTGGACTAGCTCCTTCTGAAGCTCCAGAAGTGTACTTACTACACCAGGCATAGAAGTTATCTGTAAGGGCCCTGCTGTCTCTTATGGCAAGGATTAGAGTGCTTTTATTGATAGCCTAAGCTCAGACTGCATTTTTCTCACTGTAGTTGCATCATCGCTGAATCACTGTATCTGGTGATGTGGGTGTGCATAGCTGAGTCAGAAAATATACCAGGCTCTAGCTTTCTCCCTGGCTGGGCTCCTGAAGGGCAAGTAGAGGTGTGCCAGTAGGCTTAACTTAAAGAACTGAAACTGCTGCTTTTATTTTTTTGTACCATCCAGAGGTCTTGCATACCTCAGGAAACTGTATATATTTATTAAGCTTCTAAAACCCTCTGTAGGTATCTGTTGTCCTTAAAACTAAATACACCATAAATTTTGCACAGTAAACACCTCCAGTTTATCTCAAGACAAAAACAGATGCATGTAAGGTGTAAGGTTCACATTCTCTTTTTAAGAGGAGAATAAAAAGGAAAGGCCTTTTGCTTTTGCAAGCCAGTCTCTGAAGGGGTGAGGTGGGCACGTCAGTCTCTGAGTCTAGAGTGCCTCACCATTACCCACTTGCCAGTAACACACTCGAGCATATCTGATCACTGTATGGCCATGTGGCACAAGGACAGAGGTGGTGTCTCATAGCTGTGCCTGAACTAAGGGAGGGGTTTATACTGAACAAGTATCTCAAATTCTACTGTTAAGTGTAGCTGTTCAATCCTTGTTCAGTGTGTTCAGATCCCACTGAATATATGGTCTCTTCAGTCATTTTGTCTGAGAGTAGGATGCTGGGGAATCTGGGAGATCCTTTACCCCTTCCATATTATTTTTCCAAGGGAGAATTCGGTTCTTCAAGCCCTCAAATCCCTGTCAAGATAGGGGAAGAGGAGACGAGACTCTTTTGTAACTTGCCTCAGTGTTTTTGATTGAGGTATGCTGGGAAATGGTGAATCAGATAACTGTAGTCTTTAGTGTCTTTGCATTTTTTCCAAAAGTATATAATTAGAAAGTCAAGACATACAGAAAAAGATTGTAATCCTTTGAAACACTTCATTAAAACAGTCCTGTGATCAACATGGAAAAAAATAAAAGGTTGCTAATATTTTGTCTTTTAAAATTACTTCTGTGTACTCTGATATATATGGGTGGTAGTTCTACGGTGTAGCATCTATTCAAAACTTTAATTGTCAAATTAACACTTGTGTGGAAAGCAAGGGATAGGTTGCTAGGACACGACTGAATTCTTATATTCTAAGAGATAGAATCCATCATTAGCACTGGACAATATGAGAAACTTTTTTTTTTTCCCCAGCAGTTCAGTTTCTCATTTCTTCCTTCTGGTTTACGTTATATATTCAAGTTTGCTGGGGCATGACCTTCAGTTCAAATCTATTCAGTTCAGTCCTTGAGCAATAGCAACTTTCTGGCATTTCTCAGGAAGTTGTTCTAATGGCTGGTTATCTGGTCGAGGAGGCCAGATTTGAAGCTCTTTCTGTATTTCTGCAAGTAAAGAGAGTTCTGCTGTGTAGAGGGATGTCTTCTAGGGGTGTGTCGTCTTAGTTGTTTGCTGGTAAAGGCATTCACTTAGAAACAAATCTGAGATTAATGTTTGATCAGTCTAGATAAAACTCAAATACACAGCGTACATACACACGTGGTTACTTTGTACCATGACTTATGCAGACATTCAGTTTCATATTCTATTCCAAAATGTCTTCTGAAGCAAGCGAGTTAAAAGCAATAACATGGGGTTGTAGCAGGGAGGTTCATGAGAAAACTTTGCAGGATCCCCAAATCTATCTTTACCTTAAGCATTTTGGCTAGGAGAGGTAACTTTTGAATCATGTGTGTTCTTGTATTCATTTTGAATAGGAAAAAAATGTAGAATATAATGCGTGATTCACTTATTTCTTTTTTCTCCTTCTTTTTTCCTGCTCCTTCTCTAGATTTTTGCCTTTGCAACAGCTGTTTGTTACGGTTGCAGCACAGCCCTGGCATTAAGGAGATGGAGGCTATAGCAGTTGAACAGAAGTTAATGCCTGTGTGTTCCACTTTGGATCAAATTAAGTGCTACTTGTCTGTTTTACTGTAATCTAATTCCAAATAGACTTTTTTTTGCTTGAAATCTGTTTTAAAGTGTTGAAATGCAAATAACCCCTAATCAGGATTTCCTTAACAGAAAACAAGTTTCCACCTCTTCCCTTTCTGATTTTTACTTTTATTGTGTACTTATTAGAAGCATACTCATTGTATGGTATTGTAGAGTTCAGGCATAAACAGATGTGTCATTAGCAGATAACAGAATTCTAGTGCTAAATCAGAAGAGGAAGAAAATGGAAACTAAACCAACCTGTTAACTGCCTAGGCAGCTACAAAGCTCCCCCCTTGTTAAGTCCTGGGATTGAGCCTTAAGAGTTTTGCAGCGTTACAGCGCATTCCACACAGGTAGAGCCTTGAGGCTCCTTGTGGAGTCATGGGTTTTCTGTGTGCTGCTCCTTGCATGATCAGAGCCCAAGTTGACTTTGTGATATCAACTTAGTTTATACATTATTAACTTGGATGCACAGAGAAAATACTTTAAATATCCATCCAGTGAAATCTGTTGATACTCTTTTACAGCCATATCCAGCTATGGTAATCTGATCCTTAAAGCTTACTGTATTCCTTAGTAGATGCAAACTGTTTGGGACTGTCAGTTAGTAGTTCATTAGTTTTAGGAATTTAGCTTAATCAGATCTATTTATACTGCAAAACAAAACAGTGCATTTGTGTCGTGTGTGTATATACATGGTATATTTTTAACAGGAATATTTGCACTGTTTTACTTTTTTGGAATACAACTTTGTTTTTATTACTTCAAGTGCTGCATTTGTTACTTGTTATGTGAGTCAATATCATTTGAATGGAATGTTACCAAATGGTGAATAATGTCTGACCTCAATTCTTGCAGTGTGTTATTTGTTGCATTCTAAACCTGCAGTGTTGTAAAGGTGTTTTGATTTGGACAGATGCCAGTGCAACATCTTACTGAAAGCAGTGGAATGCAAGGCGGTCCGCCCACTATGGAGTTTGCTTTTGGCACAAATTAAGTTTAATTGAGCCTCTCTTGAATACCCCTATTGTATAATGACATGCGATATCATATATAGAAAATTAATTTAACAAAACTAAACTGTAGCATTGCACTCTGCTGCGTAACACTCATGCTGTTTTGCAGATGGTGAAACTTTTTTTTTGTAATGCTGGTAAATAATTTTTGCTCTTGTGAATAGTGCCAAATTGATAACCTGGGAGAATAAAGGCTCCCTGTCATTTGTAAAACAACTTGCTCACCACATCTTGCCAGTGCACCTCAATGTTGTGCAGACAACCAGCAGTGGTTGGGTAAGGACAGGACTTTCTTCATTCCCAGGCCTACTCGTTCTCCTTGAGCCAACAAGGCTGTCTGCTGTGAAGGTTGCTTTATCAAACTCGTCAGGTACAAGGATCTCTGAGAGCCAGCCACCCTCAGTAATGCCCTGCAGTCCCTGCTGACCCAGGACAGGTTCTTATGGATGGCATAGCAGTGAGTGGCAGCCCTTCTGACTACTGGAACCACTTGGTCGTCCTGAATTACTGCAGTGGGATGTTTTCGTACGTCTTGTTTTCTGAAATTTTTATCTTCCAAAGATTTTGTACTCTGGCTGATTTTTATTTTTTCTTTCTTTTCTTTCTTCAATTCTACTTGCATTGAAACTTGTTTTGTGAACATTTTATCTGGAGCCATATACTTTTAAAAGTACTTCATGTTGTATAAAATGCATTTACACTGGAGTATATGGATGAAAGTACATAACAAAGACTTATGCTAAGCAGCATTAAAGTTACTTAATATATTTATGGCAGTAGTCTGGCTATTAATTCTGTCTTTGGAAAGTATCGAAAAACTGCCTTGCAACTTTGACCTGATGCTAGATGTGTAAAATTAAGGCTAAGATTTCTTGAGAATGCACAATTACATTGGTGCTAGTTTTGTATAGTGGTTTGCCATGTGAACACAGCATGAATATTAGTGAGGAGAAGAGTAAGGTCGGTTACAACGACATTGCAGATGGGTGCTGATCTTTGGTGTGGTTTCGCCTTCATCCTGCAACCTGGATGTGCACTGCACACCACAGACTATGCATGCCACAGCTATAGTCTCTGCGGCCAGCTGGGATGATGGGGCAAAGATCTTAACTTTTTGCCTATTTAAACCTACAGAGTATGAATCCCACACATGGTGTCAATTAAAAAACTGTCCAAGTTTAGTTGGCATTTGTATCTAACCTCCGAGTTCAAACCTAGGTGTAAAGATCGTGATTGATGGGTGCTATTCAGGTCTCTTAATCTACTTGTAGAAGTCCAGATAGCAGCGTGTGGTTAGTGTAGCATGGAAACTGTTTGTATAGTGAGGAAAGGCTGAACTTTCCCTCTTAAGTATCAAAGACAAAGGGCAGAGAAGAGATAAAGGTAAGAACTACAGTAATGAAGAATGACTTTCATAGCTAAAAATGGAGTGAAAGAATGGAAATTTTCTCTTAGTACGCAAGGAATTTTGCTGTGCTTTGAGGAAGATCTAAGGAAGGACATACCAAGACAAGCAGTTACATTTTTTTTAAAAAAAAAAAAAGCCAGTAGTTAATTTTGTATTACCTTACACAGGGAGCTAAAAAGATAGGTGTGACTCAGAAATTATATGTGCATGCTGGGATGTCTGTATGCAAATACTGATATGGGAATAACACGTAATCCTTGTGATAGGTATTATATAGGTGATATATGCAAGCTGGTTCTAACACATCTCACTCTTCCCTGTAGAAAAATTTCCCCAAGCCTATGACCTTGAAGAACACAAGCTTAGACCTCTCCAAAGAATGAAAGAAGTAGAGGAGGACAGAGGGAGATAATTTATCTCAATGAATTTCAGGCGAAAGGAGTGAGACTACAGATGCCAGATAGTGTTTTCATCAAACATCACTATTTGCTGTGAAGCTGCAGTGCAGGAATATCTAAGATACCATGCAGGTCCCTACTCTTAGAATCAGAAAATATTTCATGGTATTTTGGGTACCGCTGTGTAGTAGCTGCTGGTAAACAAGCTCTCTGTAAGGAGACTTTCCTTCAAAGGGTGCGGAGAGAAGCAACAGTTTGTTGCTTATTGCTAAAGAGAAATGAAAGTGTACATTTTAGACAGCTAAAACTTTGTTAGAACTTGCTCAGAAAATAAGCACAGTAAGTGCTTCACAGAAGTTCTGACTCTGCTTCTGTCTCACTGAATACCTGGAAATAACCCAAAGTGACACAGGTCCTGCAGGGATTATTGATACATACAGGATCAGTGAGTTCAGATTCTCATGATTGCTCTGGCTGTGTACATCAGTTATAACTTCTGACATGAGTCAAGTTATGCTGCTGTAAAATGCTGCCTTAAAACACAGCTGTAAAAGGGTAGAGAAGCAGAACCAGTGATCACACAAATCTGTGCCCTTCATAGAAAGTTGCAGAAAAAGCACTGGAAAATCACTGGACCAGTGTCTTCTTTCTCGTTAACTTCCAAAACCAGATGACAATGCTGACTTCTATTGCACTTCCTCTAGTCATTGTATTTTTGCATTTGCTTTATAACTTTAAAAAATGTTGATGTTCATCATTTTCCCATCTGAATTTGAAAAAATAATGTTAAGACGGCTTAAAACTGATAGCTCGTTTGTTCCATTTTTATCTATATGCTGTGAAATTGGTCTCTGAACAATAGTGTCCTGATGCATGTGCGCTCCGGTGCCAGGCTGTCCAAGCTGTACAGAAAGGCTCCCCAAGTCTTGTCCACAGATAACGGTGAACCACGAGTTCTCAAATTGAGATGCAAATAGGACATCGCTCTTTTCAATCTTACAAAAAGAAAAACTTGAAAGTGAGAGCATGTTGTATTTCCTTCTTAGCTGTGTTTTGTACAATTGGTCATGATGCATTGATCTTTGTTGAGACACAAAGATCAGAAGAAAAAGCAAATCTAATGTTTTAAAATGAGTGAACAGCAATGGAAAGTATTTCAATTTTATTTAGAAGTTGAGTTCAGCATGACTGTTCCACTTTCTCCCACTGAGTTAAGTTTCTTTTGGACCATTATGGTGCTTATCTAAACCCCCTTCTAACCTGAGCAGCTCAGAATTTACTGTATTTATCCTTAAGGTGCTCCTGGAAAGAGGAGAAATACTATTCTCATCTCACAAGTGGGAAACTCAGACACAGAGACCCCAAACAACTCATGTGCTGAAGGCTTTGCACAGGAGATTTGTGGTGGAGCAGGGAAAGGAAACCCGGTTTCTCAAGTGAGAGGTCAGTGCCTTGCCCAGCAGCCCATACTGCTGCCTGCTGTGGGCAGGAAGGGAGCAGTGTAGCGTGGATTGTGCGTGACCTGTCCCACTTCTGTCTCTGTCATGGTGGTATTACTCTGGCAATTAGTTACACGGGGTTAAAAGGTAGAATGTATGTTTGTGAAGGATTATGAGTCAAAGGGAGGTTTAATGTGCCAAACTGGCATTCCTAGATCAAACATCGTAGTTTCTGGATGTTCTGACCTTAAATTTTGACTATCCAGTTGTAAACAGGCTACATAGAGTTCCTGTTTGAGGTGTTGGTCTACCTCCTGTATCTTAAAAGAGGAAACAGGTCCTTAGGAATCTGCACGTTTCAGCTGCTTCCTCCTATAGAACATGTTTGAGCCCTAAATTCTTGGCGTTAGCAAAATGTTACCTGCCTTAAGCCTGCCAGGACACAGCACCTTTTGGTTGAGAAACCTGAGCTACGTTTTGGCAACTAACTTGTCAAGCTACCTTTCAAGGGAACACAATGATCAAGTCAGATTATGTCTAGGTGTGGTTTTAACACCTTCCTTGCTGTGGGATTATTGCAAGTATCTATAAGGATTCTGGAGATTGTGGACAAAATATTCATACACTTATGTCCAGTATGTCCAATGTCAGACTTGCTGTGCCTGTCTCCAGAGAGGCTCTCGTGCAGCAGCTGTGCCCCGTGGACCCATACGTGATTGCAGTATTACTAGTAATCTTAGAAGAATTACTGGAGATTTTACTCTCATCTCAATCTTTTCCTGGTCAGCTCGGCAAAGTGTGGCCTCTGTCACTGGACCAGTGGTGTGGCACAATAAACAGCAGATCAGAACGAGCCCAGTGGGGATCCAGAAAAGGATCCTGCACTCCTCGCAGAGCTGGGACCTCACACAGCCCTGTTGCCCTGTACAAAGGTGCTGGGGCTTCTTAGTGCTCTGATTAC